GAGGCTCCCCGATATACGCAAGAGGCCCCCGGGACCGCCAAGAGACCCCAAAGACGGCCCAAGAGGCCCCCAAGCTCGCCATTGTCCTCCTCCTCCTCTTTTTCTTCCTCCTCCCTCCTCCCCCTCCCCCTCCTCTTCCTCCTCCTCCTTCTCCTTTTCCTCCTTCTCGTCCTCCTCGTCCTCGCAGTCCTCCATCTCCTCCTCCTCATCTTCCTCCTCCTCCTCCTCCTCCTCCTCCTCCCCCTCCTCCTCCTGCTCCTCCTCCTGCTCCTCCTCTTCCTCCTCCTACTCCGACGACGACGACTCCTCCTACATCCTCCCCCTCTTGGGGCGTATGGCGGCTCACCCGCTCTTTGTTCTTCTGCATGCTCCCCGCTTCCCTCATAACCTCCGCTCCCCCGGGACTCATTTCTAAACGGGCTGGTGGGGATATTTTTCCCAACCATCCTGTGGTGTTGGGTCCTCGTTTTGAAGAGACGGTGCCCGCGTCCTCTCCTCTCCTCCTCTCCTCCCCCTCCCCCTCCCCCCCCTCCTCCTCCCTCCTCCTCCCTCTCCTCCCTCCTCTCTGCGTTTCACCCACCCATTACAGCGCTTCGTGGCTCCATAGGGAGCTCCACCGAAGGCCCCAGTGGGGGTGTTCGCATGCGGTTCCCCCACCCAGGGCAGCGTTTCGTGGCCCCATAGGGAGCTCCACCGAAGGCCCCAGTGGGGGTGTTCGCATGCGGTTCCCCCACCCAGGGCAGCGTTTCGTGGCCCCATAGGGAGCTCCACCGAAGGGAGTGGGGGTGAAGGCCCCAGTTCGCATGCGGTTCCCCACCCAGGGCAGCGTTTCGTGGCCCCATAGGGAGCTCCACCGAAGGCCCCAGTGGGGGTGTTCGCATGCGGTTCCCCCACCCAGGGCAGCGTTTCGTAGCCCCATAGGGAGCTCCACCGAAGGCCCCAGTGGGGGTGTTCGCATGCGGTTCCCCCACCCAGGGCAGCGTTTCGTAGCCCCATAGGGAGCTCCACCGAAGGCCCCAGTGGGGGTGTTCGCATGCGGTTCCCCCACCCAGGGCAGCGTTTCGTGGCCCCATAGGGAGCTCCACCGAAGGCCCCAGTGGGGGTGTTCGCATGCGGTTCCCCCACCCAGGGCAGCGTTTCGTGGCCCCATAGGGAGCTCCACCGAAGGCCCCAGTGGGGGTGTTCGCATGCGGTTCCCCCACCCAGGGCAGCGTTTCGTAGCCCCATAGGGAGCTCCACCGAAGGCCCCAGTGGGGGTGTTCGCATGCGGTTCCCCCACCCAGGGCAGCGTTTCGTGGCCCCATAGGGAGCTCCACCGAAGGCCCCAGTGGGGGTGTTCGCATGCGGTTCCCCCACCCAGGGCAGCGTTTCGTGGCCCCATAGGGAGCTCCACCGAAGGCCCCAGTGGGGGTGTTCGCATGCGGTTCCCCCACCCAGGGCAGCGTTTCGTAGCCCCATAGGGAGCTCCACCGAAGGCCCCAGTGGGGGTGTTCGCATGCGGTTCCCCCACCCAGGGCAGCGTTTCGTGGCCCCATAGGGAGCTCCACCGAAGGCCCCAGTGGGGGTGTTCGCATGCGGTTCCCCCACCCAGGGCAGCGTTTCGTGGCCCCATAGGGAGCTCCACCGAAGGCCCCAGTGGGGGTGTTCGCATGCGGTTCCCCCACCCAGGGCAGCGTTTCGTGGCCCCATAGGGAGCTCCACCGAAGGCCCCAGTGGGGGTGTTCGCATGCGGTTCCCCCACCCAGGGCAGCGTTTCGTGGCCCCATAGGGAGCTCCACCGAAGGCCCCAGTGGGGGTGTTCGCATGCGGTTCCCCCACCCAGGGCAGCGTTTCGTAGCCCCATAGGGAGCTCCACCGAAGGCCCCAGTGGGGGTGTTCGCATGCGGTTCCCCCACCCAGGGCAGCGTTTCGTGGCCCCATAGGGAGCTCCACCGAAGGCCCCAGTGGGGGTGTTCGCATGCGGTTCCCCCACCCAGGGCAGCGTTTCGTAGCCCCATAGGGAGCTCCACCGAAGGCCCCAGTGGGGGTGTTCGCATGCGGTTCCCCCACCCAGGGCAGCGTTTCGTGGCCCCATAGGGAGCTCCACCGAAGGCCCCAGTGGGGGTGTTCGCATGCGGTTCCCCCACCCAGGGCAGCGTTCGTGGCCCCATAGGGAGCTCCACCGAAGGCCCCAGTGGGGGTGTTCGCATGCGGTTCCCCCACCCAGGGCAGCGTTTCGTGGCCCCATAGGGAGCTCCACCGAAGGCCCCAGTGGCTGCTCTCGCATGCGGTTCCCCGCCCAGGGCAGCGCTTCGTGGCCCCATGGGGAGCTCCACCGAAAGCCCCCGTGGCGCAGTTCGCATGCGCTTCCCCCACCCAGGACAGCGTTTCGTGGCACCATAGGGAGCTCCACCGAAGGCCCCAGTGGCGCAGTTCGCATGCGTTTCCCCCACCCAGGGCAGCGTTTCGTAGCCCCATAGGGAGCTCCACCGAAGGCCCGCCCCGGTGGCGCAGTCCGCAT